AACATCAAGTCGGCATCCATTCTTCTCTCTCTCTCTCTCTCTCTCTCTGSGATATCAGTGATCTCTGAAATTCTGACATGAGAGCCCCTCTTCATCTTTCAACATCCTTTTTTGAAATTAAATGGTGAACTACTGTCTAGGTCGAACAGACCAACGGTTCAATCACCCGGGTTAGCGGTTCTTCAAAATTAACGATTTTTAACCCAAAAACAGATCAAGGGTAAAACAGATTGGTTGCTTGAACGGTTTTTGAACAAAACAGTCCGAACATTCGGATCGATAATGGTTCGAAAACACTGGCCGGCTGTAGCCACGATCACAACACTTTCCTATTACTGTTTAATAAAATATGGGCATGCTAATAATAAAAGGGGGTATTTGGTACTGTGGTCTTAATAAGGTGTGTTGTGTTTAAATCTATTGGGCCCCACTATGGTGTGATAGAAACCATATATATATATAAAATAAACTTTTAAATAAAAATATTTCAATCATTTATTATTCAGTTAAATCCATCATAACCTAAAGTGATCCACGGAAATTAATTGTGGATGAGAAATTACGATATAATCCAATTCAATCCATCCTATATTGTGGTTGTAAATGAGCTACACCCTCAAATGAATATGGAGAAATATTGTGGCATAAATCAAAACCAAGCGATCCACACTATTCTCACAAATACCACCCAAATTAAAAGAAAACATCACTCACTGTTTTAATTTTTTTTTCTTTGTATAAAGATTAAAAAAAAAGACTAAAGAAGCCTATATGAGGTTCTCCCCACACATTACGTGTTACAGGAGCGTTCGACAATATGATTGGTTTTATTTTCAAAAACAAAAATAATATAATTCCGGTTCTTGGGTCAAATGATTTGACCGCCCGAGAATGATTTTTCTGACTAAATCAATTTGGCAAAATAATAATTCTGAGGTAAAACAGAACTGATCACCTCGATTTTTCCGATCGTACCGTTAGGCCTGGTCCGGTTTTGAAACCATGATTTTTTATTTTCAAAAATAAAATCAATTATATTTTCCAACACCTCCTACAATGATAAGCATTCATGTAATTTATTTAACTTCCAATTAAAGAATGGCTGCCGAAAAATCCAAGTTAAAGATCTCTAAACCAACCCGTGGCTTGATTTCCTTCACGTGGAATAATTGAATTTAAAACAAAGGGGACTGTCTCTGTGATTTATTGGGCAACCTAAGAAAGTTTTGCCATCCTGATCACGTCAGATGTGAGCTGAGCTGAGCTCCATTCATGGCAGAAGACAGTGATAAATGGGCAGTAATGGCTGCCGTCCATGGAGAGAGTTATTGATGGCCATCTAATCCAAGGCAGATGGGACAAGGCCCAAGGGGGTAATTACATGATTTCACATGTTAATATGTGTGAAGTCTTCTCTCTAGTGGTATATAGTCCCACCTGTTCCCCTGTGGTTTGTTCTCCAAGCTCACTTATTTCCTCACGATTTCTTACCAGCAAATCAGCAATTACTGCCTTTGAAGTTTTCTTCTAACAAACCATCCCTCTAGAGAGGGACAGTTTGTTTAAAAAACTTTTGATTTTTTCCATATGAAGGAGTGCCTTTGTTCTGAATTAGGTATTCTCTTGTTCAGTAATCACAGAGGGGCGAGGGGGTGTTTGTCAATTTTTTCAAAACAGAAAACAACTACCACATGAACCAAATTAGAAAGGGAACTCATATGGTAAATGGATGAAGTTTACAGAAAAGGAACTGAAATATAAAAGGTGCAGGATAACTATTCTTGCAATATTCATTAAGTAGGTGTTTGGCATCATGCTGGAATATTGAACCGTTTTCTGAGAAAATGGTACTTATTTTCTGTTTGAAACCAGTGCTATTACATAGGTGTTTTTTTTTTAGAAAACACCACTGGTTTTGTTTGGTACCAGTGCTGGTAATAACGTTTTCAATATTGATCTTATTATCCAACGTCCAAAATGATACCACGTCATTGTATCGTTGGCAGCAACACACCATTTTCCCAGAAAGCATCAAATTTGGCGTTGCTCCAGATCACACTTTGCTGATTTTCAAGATGTGGTCTGGAGCAACGTTTTTTTTTTTTTTTTTTTTTGAGAAAACGATACCAAACAAAAGGGCATTGTTTCAAGCACCATTTTCTCTGATGTGGTGCCTACATGGCACTGTTTTCTCAAAAAACAGCACCGATGCCAAACACCGCCTAAACCAATATAATCCAACTCCCAATGAACTCTACCCATGAAGCTCCTTGGTGACCTTTGTTTGTTAGACAGTCCATTGCTTGATTATCCTCTATCATTGATCCTCTCCTCCAAGATAGAGGCATATGGGGCCATTGCTTTCCTCCATCACCCTCTGGTTCTGCCCTAGAGTCGCCCTCTACCGACCGCTGCATCTCCTACCTGCCTAGCCAACCAACTCTTGGGATTCTAGACCTACTCATGTTTCAGCTATTGTGGTAGAAAAAACCCTTTAGAAAGGGTACTGCATTGATGAACCCAAAACCTTTCAATAGAAACAGAAATTGTACCAGACAACCTAACAAAGGGCCCAATAAATAACAGTAGTATAGTAGTACTGCCCCATTCAAGGAATGATGTGGGCTACTCACATATAGGGGTGTCAATGGACCAGTTTTGGGTTGGGCCCCATCCAAATCAAAATCAATTTGGATGGATTGGATGGACCAATAAGACATATTGAATTGGACCAATCCAGATTTAATGGTCCAAAGTTTGAATTGGATTGAACCTAGTCCATCTGTAATGGGTTTATATTGGATTGGGTTGGATTGAACCAATATCCAGTCCATTGATAGAATATGAGAAAACAGGTGTCAATGGGCCAGGTTTGGATTGGAAACAATCAAAATTAAAACCAATTTGAATAGATTGGATGGTCCAAACATTGAATTGGACTGATCCAAAATAGTCCAGAGTATTGGATTGGACCTAATCCATCTATAATGGACTCATATTAGATCAGATCGTATTGGACCAAATTCAGTTCAATTGGCACCCCTATTTTTTGGTAAAATAAATAGGGTAAATTGCTAAAACCTCTCCTGAAGTTTGGTATCCAAAATGGTCCAGAGTATTCATCGTATTGGATTGGAGCTGATCCATCTGTAATGGACTCATATTAGACCAGATCGGATTGGACCAAATCTAGTCCAATTGACACCCCTATTTTTTGGTAAAATAAATAGGGTAAATTGCTAAAACCTCCCTTGAAGTTTGGTTGTTGTTGAAACCTCCCCTGAAGTTTGGTAATTGCAATCACCTCTCATAAACTTTTTGATATGGTTGCAAGTGGACCCCCTTTGGTAGAATTTTATAAATAGACATAAAAATGTCCAAAATACCCATATAGTAATGTTTATTTTCCAATTTTTACTCTTCATATGAATCACTTCACCAAACCTTTCCAATCATTTTTTTTTTAAATTGATTTATTTTTCAAAATTTCTTTTCATATCAATCACTCAAAGGCAAAACTGCAACTTTAAATTATCTATTTTTTATTTGGGGTCTACTTGCAACTGTATTAAAAAGTTCAGGCCAGGTGATTGCAATTACGAAATTTTAAAAAAGGTTCAGCAATTTACCCAAATAAATATGGTTTCAGTCTTTCTGAATTTTATGACAAGAGTATCTTAGTCATATATTTTTTTTTCCTTTTATTGTGGTGGTACTGGTAGTTTAATACAATATAGCACAGAGACAATGCTTAGTTTATAAGAATATAAGAATGGAATTCATTGTGGAATGTGGATATCAAGAAAAAAAGGAACCATGTATACCAAAAACATATAAAAAGAAAAAAAAAAGAATGGAACCACGGGTTGACTTGTCTCATGTATTAACTGCCTACCTAAATAAGCTAATCCAATAAATTGTTCATTTCACTTCTCATTCAATCCATCTCCAGCTGATTACTCTATTTATACAAGGCCCCTCTCTCTTTCTTTCTCCATCTCTTAGTGAAATTGCTCAAAAAGCGTCTCAGAAGATGGAGAGCAGCCAAAGCCAATACAAGGCCAACTATGGTGTGGAAGTGGAAGCAAAAGTGGCGAACCCAAGAAGTAGTGTAAGGTCATCAGACTTCCTACTTCGACTACTGGCCGTAGTCACAACCCTTGTGGCTGCTATCATCATCGGCGTTGCTAGGGAGACCAAGATGGTTCCATTCTCTCTCCTCTCTAACGTTCCACCCTCGTATATTCCTTTAACTGCCAAGTCTCACTACTCCTCTGCTTTTGTGTAAGCACTCTTTCTCATTGTTACTTTTGGTTTAAATTCGATACTGATAGAGTTTTTAAAATTTTGATAACTTCATAAATACATACACACACATATATATATATATATATATATAATATTACTCTGGATCTTCTGCCCATAAGAACTCTGTCTACATTTATTCACAACACATTGAAAAGATCTCGTGCATAATACTATGTAAGAGGATGAGATGTTCTCCATATGTGACTGTGATGTTATGTAGATAGGCATAACAGAATTCTTATGGACAGAAGATCCGGACCAATATACCAGAAGCCTTAAGATGGTTAGAACTTGTTAAACCAAGCCCTTTTTAAGCTTATTCAGGGACCTCACCTAGTAACTTAAGTGCAGTGACTAAATATATTAATAGCTCATGGCACCCGGTGCTGATAGTGCTAACATTGCTCCCAAGTCCCAATTAGGCTAAAACCTTATTTGTTTGAGAGTGCTTATTTTTAATCACTTATTTTAGCCCACAACCACGTCAATAAGTACTTTTATGCATTTAGAAAATAATAAGTCTAATAAGTGATTTTTCAAGAAATAAGCCCATTACAAACAAGCTCAAAATTTTTATTTTTTTTTCAGGCACTTTTTTTTTTTGTTTCTGGCTGGTCTTGACCAACCAAAATGATTTTCAAAATATCTAAAAAAGCACTTATTATCCAAAGTAAGTGCTTTTTCACCGAACATAACTGTAATATTGAACTAGAAGCCTGCAATAATAATATATAGCTAACCGGGTTTTAATTTGGGGGCTTTTGTTGATATCTCTGTTGTTGAAGGTTCTTCACGGTGTCAAACGCCATAGCCTGTGCATACGCAGCTTTGTCACTGCTGCTACTAATCGCGAAACGAGCGAGAGGCAACGCCATAACATTGGCAACCACCATCATCAGCCTGGATGTGATAATGGTGGGTCTGCTTTTCTCCGGCAATGGGGCTGCCGCTGCAATCGGCCTCCTTGGCTACCAAGGCAACTCGCACGCCAACTGGCAGAAGGTCTGCAACGTATTCGGGACTTACTGCCACCAAGTCGCGGCTTCTATAGGCGTCTCGCTGCTTGGGTCCCTGCTCTTTGTCCTGCTGGTGCTGCTCGCCGTTTTGAACCTCCACAAGACAAACACGTCTTAATTGCAACTATTCCATTCCATACATCACATATATTCGCTCTGTATTGGTTGCAGGTTGTAACTGCTGGTACCACTACTTGCTTCTTTTTTAATTTGCCATGAGCTCCAGACTCCATCTTAATTAGTTGTGCATTAATATTTAATACCATAACAGCAGCTAGATGCACCTACTCCCTTTAATTCGTGACTTAGAGCCCGTTTGGGAGGGCTTCTGCGTTAATTGAAGGGCCGTTTAGCAAGTCTGTTTGGTTAAGATGTATCTTTTTCAATGCATCGGCTTTTGGTAGTTAGATTTACTACGAATCAAACAAAAAAAGACCGAATCACAACCTACTGAACTTATTATAAATAACCAACAAACCGCATGAAAAAACATGCCAAATGGGCCTGAATTGCTTGGGAGCAGCTATCTGATATAGTTTCATCAAAAAAATGATTTTGAGGCTTAAATTAAAACTATTTTTAATTTTTTGGACTCTTATCTAATAAGATTTTATGGCATATGGGGTTCTTCAGCAGTAGTTCAGTCCATATAATGCCAGAAACCGTTGCGTGGAAGAAAGCCCTCTCACAACTTGGTACTATTCACTATTGAATTGAAAATGCTCTGGTGGTTGGATGAACGAGTGAGTTGCGACACCATTAATTAAAGCCCTCAACGCCAGACCTAATTATGGGAAAATACAGGAGAAAACTTTTAATATCAGCTTTCTTCTTATAATTTCAAGTGGTTCATGGGGTGGAGTTGTGTTTATTCATGATTCAAATCTAAAGCAGTGGGTGTCGGTTTGAAAGAATACAAATATAAATATGTATAAAAATAATATAAAATATAAAGCTTTGCATTTTATATATGTACTTCTTTTAAATTAAAGGACTGTTTGACAAGTTTTTTGGGGAAGGTCTTCTGGTAACTTTGACAGTCAAAAGATGTATTGAGCTTTTGTATGAAGATTTGAGAAGCACAAAACTAGTTTGGCATATACATGTCTCTCTATGTCTTTCCGCATGAGAATAAAATGCGAAAGACGCAAAAAACTTCTTTTGGAGCTTCCCAAAATCAGCCCAAAATAGACTTCTCGTGTATTTTTGCTGCTCCGGTTTTTGGTAACTAGATCTTTCATGAACCAAATAGGAATATATCAAAAATCGATTTACCCAACTTATAAACAGTCGAAAGGCTATGTATAAAGACACCCCAAATGAGACCTAAGCTTAAAGTTCAATTTAAAAAGAATACAAATGCAAATATATATACAATAAAAATATATAAAATAATACAAAATATTTGTAGTACACATATTTGTATTTATATTCCTTCCAAACTTATTGCGTTGAATGGTTATCTATCACAAAGAATTTTGCATGAAGATGAATGCTAGAAAATAAAAAGTTATTCATAGATCTCACCTAACGGATGGTTCTTTTGACACGAATTAATGTGTTGAATGGTTATTTATTTGTTACAAATTTTGATGCGAACTGTCATTCACGGAACACCACCATTATTTGTAGAAAGATTAAATGAAGAGATCTTGAGGGGAATTACAGCGACTGTCATTCTTCCCTTGTCAAATATTTCTCTTCACTGTCAGTTATCACCACTCCACAAACAGTGGATTGCTTGTTTAAGTTGCAGGTTCTTCCAGGCTAGAATAAAGCCACCAACCCCATTTGACTTTGATGTTTTGGCTTAGTGTGGAAGAAGTATAAATGCAAAATCTTATATTTTGTATGTATTTACACTGTGCATATTTGCATTTATACTCTTTCCAAACTAAGCCATTAGGAATTGCAGCAGTGCAATTGGCATTGCATAGTAGGCCTGAGTGATCAATGGTCCAGGCCAGGCCTGGGTACTCGGGCTTTCTGGATGGGCCTAACCTTCTGGGTTAGGCTAAGCTTGATCAGCCCTTCCTTAAGGCTGGCAATTGGGCGGGTTGGGTTGGGTTTGGTTTGGGTTGAGCTTCAACCCAATCCATCTAACCCGCCAATCCATTAATGACCCAATTATATAAAATTAAATGGGTTGGGTTCAACCCAAACCTTCTTTAACCCAATTCAACCCGCCCAAACCCATTAATCTTATATTTATGGACTTAAAAAACAAACTAACTCTCTCTTAGCAAATAAGTTAGTCATAGCTTGGTGGTAATAGTAGTTACTATTTACACAAGTGGTAAAGGTTTAAATCACATTACATGCATGTTATCTTTACACAAGCGGCGAAGCCATTCGACTATGTTCGGATTTCGGGTTTGACCGAACCACTTAGGTTCAAACCGGCCAGACCAACTTGAACTATCTAATTGGATTATCTTCGAGCTAATCACATCAAGGGTGGTTGAACCATTTAGATCTGGATTAGTACGGGTCGGACCGAATCGGACCGGTTCAGTCAATGGTGGATTGATTTGGACCGTCCCATATCAGGTTTGTACATGGGTTTGGAACCGAACTGACCAACCCGAAGCGGGTCAATGTAAGTAAATTGGAACTAAATTTAGTCAATAATTAATACAAAATTAATGCATTAATTATAAATTATTTAATTCAAATGAAGAAAATAAAAAAAAGCTAAGGAATTAATACTTATATCTGTAATGGGTAACCCAATGGTTATCCACAACCCAACCCATTTAAATGGGCAGGTTGGGTGATGGGTTGTGATGGAGGGTGATTTGACCCGACCTCCTAACCAGGTGACACGTGAACATGACTCAGCGTAAGTGACAGTTCGGCATGATAGCTTGGCCACAACTCGACGTAATGAACTCGCTGAAACCCCARCAGAACTCGCTATAAGACAGCTCGTTACAGCCCGCTACAGCACGGCTTGCTGCAAGGCAGCTTGCTATTGGAGCTCGCTACGAAAGAGTTCCYTACAAGTGAGCTCGCTACTGAGTAACCCGGAGCCTTCGGGAAACTTCTTATCCGAGAAGACCGTGCTCGTCAGACTGCTCCCACGTCTCTTGTCCGGCGGCACAGCACCTGCAAGTTCAGAYGACTACACCCATGTCTCACGTCAGGCGGCATCGTGCACGCCAACTCTGCATAAAGTCTCTCAAGTGACAGGACCGTACACTGCGACGAATACCTACGCCAATCAAATCAGCCTGACGAATAACGGCTGTAACAGAAGAATCAAAGGTGGTTACACCCGATTTGGCAGCGCATTAATATATAAGGGCTACGACCCCCAAGGAAAAAGGTAATTGAATTTTTGGCAATCGAGTAGTGCRCATCTCCACTCTTAGCTCGCCATTACTCTCTAAGATTCTCTCTCAGAGTTCTAACTTAAGCATCGAAGTGTTCCCACTGGGCGAGCTCCCCGGGAACCCTTCATCTTCTCCTTCTCAGGTGTTGTCCGTTGCCAGATAGGAGCGAAGCCCCTGCCAGCTAGGAGTGACCAGATCGCGCTACATCAGGTTGATCACACAACCCGCCAAGTAAATGGTTGGGTTGGGTGGGTTCAACAGGTTGGGTGGAAAATTGCCATTTGGACCTAAAACTTGCCAATATTGATGGTGGATAGGGTAAGAAGCGGATTTCTTATGGGCGTCAACCTATGTGCCACGTAAAACAATTCCACATTGTGTAGCCCCATTGGACCTGTTTATGGGCCAGGCTTTGCCTCTTTGTAAATAGTAAATGACTAGGCCTAAGACTGAGCTTGGTCTGACCATTGAGCCTAAATCTTGAGCCCAAACCTAGTTTTATATAAAGCCCGAAGCCCAATTTAGACAAATATTTTATTATAATTAATTATACATTATTGATAATATATTATATAATATGAGAAAATCTATGATGCTAGAAAGATATCATATTGGAAAGGTTTTGACCAATCACAACCCCCATGAATTATACTAAAAACCCACCTAATTGGTTTCTACTTTTGAGATTATGGTTGATTGGTTGTAAGTTTTTTTCAGTATCATGTCTTTCCAGCATCATAGTTGAACCCATATAATATATAGAATATTGTATAATATATTTTTTGCTACTAATATTATTAATAATGTTATGAAATTGGGGTCACAAAAACTTAGAGGAGAAGCTCTAAGGCGTATCTAAAGACACTATCTTTAGAACGTTATTTGCCCCACTTAAATTCACCGAGTTTGTTGTTGTGTTACAGGCAAATTCATTCTCAAGATACAACAAAGCCTTGGGTGAAAACTACAATCAACAACATGGTTTTTAAAACCGAACTGGTCATGGGTCTAGTTACCGGTTCGAATGGTTCGACCGTTCGATCGAACGACCGCCTTGTTCTGACAAAAAAAAATTAAAAAAAAATTAAAAAAATTGAAAAACAGTCAAAATTGTTCAAACAATTAACCAGCCAGTTYAGCGGTTTGCTGACCAAAATCAATGGTTTTGGGGAAAAACGGAACCGGTTAGGTGACTGATTCCCGGTTTTCCCGGTCTGACCATCCAGTTTGGTCCGGTTTTGAAAACCATGATCAACAAAGTTGAAGAATCTTTAAAGAAACCTTTTATGAGACAATAGTAGATCAGACTGAGAGAGGCAGTAGTGATTTTGAGTGAGAAGTGATCAAAACTTGTGTATGATTCAGCTTTGCTTACATCCTTTTTAGAGATCTTGGAGAGTCATCACCAAGAGAAATGCATTGGTTCGAAGAGCCTCTTTGTATAGCCACGACTTCAAACTTTGTGACTGCCCTCAATTAGTTAATGGTTAGTGACTTTTAATGTTTAAATATTGTCCCTTAATTACACCCGATCAAGTCATGACTGTTGGATTAACTTAAAATGTCAACGATCATGTTTCACCCTTCAAGCCAACGCACCCTTATGTGCAGATCAAAACCAAATGCGATTTCGCAAAATCAATTGTTTGCAATTTGCGATTTTGCAAATAGTAATGTCTGTGATTTGTGATTTCACAAAATTCATGTTATGTGATTTGCGATTTTGAAAATTGTAGTCTACGATTAATGCGCCACCACAAACCTTCTCATTGCATCAAATGTCATCACATTAAAAATATATTAACTTCTTGCAAACCACGTAGGTGCACCCAAAAGTGCGAGCAAAATGTACCTCTAAAGCACCTCATTGCATCGCACACATGC